GGCTTCTTTCAATCAATTTTCATTGGGATTCTTTATTTCCACCAAGTAAAATTCACCCATCTTTGTTTAGAGTTTGTACATTTGGTATAGTAAGAAATCTTTTCTTGTGGTGAGATGGTGAAAATAATGCTCCATTTTTTTTTACTAGAAGTGTTGTAAGTTTTCACTCATATATCAATGTTCTTAATATTGGAATGGGGTGAAGGGGGGGGTTCACATCTGGTGATGTTCAGGGGTTACACCTGGCGCTGCATTCAGGAATTACTACTAGCAAGCAACGTACCCACTGTAATATCTCTCCAACCCCCTAAAATTGGAATTTTTATAAACATATGTGATAGGGATTAAATTTTGTGCTTTTGTTTAGACAATCGATTATCCCAGTCCCATCTAGAAAAAAAAATATTCTTCCATTGCCCACTGGTCAGTCAGGCTAATTTTGCAATTTTTCAAATTTTCAGAGACTTTTGGATTCCTTTTTTGATTCTCTATTTTGTTTCATTTGTTATGTGCCTCCCTCTATGGTTACACCCTGGTTCTCTTAATCACCAGCAATACACCAAATCTTGATACCTTATACACTATATTATAAGCACATATAAGTATAAGCAAGTCTACCAACACTGTCTTACTTTTAGGTCTTATTAGCTAGTTGTTCCTTCTTATAAAATCTCAGAATTACTCTGATCAAATCTGACAGAGAAAATTCTACTGGAATGGCATCAACTTTCACACATCAATAGGGAAAATTGATATATCTATCATCCACAGTCTAGCTAGAACACAATGATAGTCAATCCCGTTTATTTAGGTCTACTGTGGCTTTCAATAAAGTTTAAAAATTTTCTTCACAATTTTTGGCATTTCTTTTGCCAACCATACATTTCAAGGTACAAAAAAAAAAAACTGCTGCCATTTTAAGTCTAACTGCAATTTTAGAATTAGATTTTGATTATTAATATAAAGGAATTCAAAGACTTATTAAATTCCTTACTTTTCATAACTTATATGTAGACAGTTGAGTTTTCTATGTAGATAAAATGTGACAATAAGAGTTCTGATTTTCCTATCTTTACACTTTTTACTTCTTGTCTTCATGCCTTAGATAGGATTTCCAGTACATTGTTCAACAGTGGCTGTGATAACAGGGATCCTTCCTTTTGTTATTCCTGGCTTTAAAGGAAATGTTTCTTTTCAATTTGCTATGATGTTAACTGGGCTGGAGCGATAGCACAGCGGGTAGGGCATCTGCCTTGCATGCAGCCAACATGGCCGACCAGAGTTCGATTCCTCCGCCCCTCTCGGAGAGCCCCACAAGCTACCGAGAGTATCTCGCCCGCACAGCAAAGCCTGGCAAGTTACCCGTGATGTATTCGATAAGCCAAACACACGAGTCTCACAATGGAGACATTACTGGGCCTGCTCGAGCAAATTGATGAACAACGGGAGGACAGTGGACAGTGACATGATGTTAACTGCAGTTTGCTGCAGATACTATATCAGGATGAGAAAGTTTTTTATGACTGGTTTACTTAGCATCTTCTGTAATGATTATAGACTGTATTTAATCAACTGCTTTTGATAAGAACATTTCTTTTCCAATGTGAAGATACATACATATATAAGTATATACAAATAGGTATGTATATATATACATATATATATTTACTAATATTAACTCTTGTTGCATTCCTACAATAAGAATGGTACCCAGAATGTTCTGTTTGGAAGGACAGAAATCTGATACATGGTATCAGAGTAGAAACCATTTGCTTAAAACTCAGTGACATACAATGCTAGTCTCACTCGTTATCTGAAGACACAGTCTCCCCTAGGCAGAGTTTTCAGACTATATCCTGCAGTTTATGCTCACTCAGCACATAGAACAGGCTCCTCTATCCAGGTCCTCTTTCCCAACTGGAAAAAAGTCCCTCAAAGAGCAACAGTTGAGGGGCACACACCATTACTTGCCAGTGGGAGAGGGAAGCTAGGAGGAGTGGTTTGGGCCACACCCACGCTTCTGTGCTCAGGAGTGACCCCTGGCAGTGCTCATGGGACCAAATGTGGGGGCAAGGATTTGAATTGGGTTCTAACTCTCCCACTCTGGTCTAACTCCTATTATCTTATCCATATTCTTGTGGATAAAATGGTAAACGTAAGTTGATCATGCAGCATCCATGTAGAACATGACACTCCACAACATACAGGTTTTCGGGTTTTCTCAAGTTTTTCTGGGGCCGAAGCAATAGCACAGTGGGTAAGGTGCTTGCTTGCCTTGCATCTGGCTGACCCAATTTGAATCCCCAGCATCCCGTATAGTGCTCTGAGCACTGCCTGGAGTGATTCCTGAATGCAGAGCCAGGAGTAAGCCCTGAACACAGCTGAGTATGTCCTCCCCCACCAAAAAAAGTTTATTGTTTGAATCCACTAACAGTTAAGTCATCTTAAATCACGTGCCACACTTTCCTGATTTGTTAACAGCATTCCAGCTATGTGTGCTTGATAATGTTTCTTAATTGGGGTTGGGGGGTATTCGACCATGCCTGGTGGTGCTTAGGGGCTACTCCTGAATCTGTGCTCAGGGATCACTCCTGTCTAAGCTCAGGGGATCGACCATATCTGGTTCTGGGGATGGAACCAGGGTCAGCTGCTTGCAAAGTAATTTCACTACCATGTCTCCATCTCCAACATGTCATGATTTTTTTTTAATTATTCTATTGTGGGGACCACACCTAGCAGTGCTCAAGGGCCAAGAAGTGTCAGGTATCAACCTCAGGGCCTCTTACATGCCTCATATGCTCTAACATTTGAACCACCTCCCTGGACCATGATTTTATTTATTTATTTTTTAGCATAATTTGACTTTTTCTCAGAGAGTCCAGTCAATTACGGGGAATAGTGACTGCATTGTACAAAAGCTATCACAATGGCAAGGGAGCTTGTGGGATAAGGCACATCACCATCAGCTTGGGCCCTGTGTGAGGAGGAGGGGAGGGCTGGCATTTTCCAACAATTTGGCATTGACCTCTAGTTAACTCCCGGCAGTGAGTCACACTTTTCCCACTTCACTCTCCCACTCTCTCCACCTTCCTTCTCCCCAGTATTGCACAAAGCAGAGCTGTAGCATGGATACATTTTGAGCTGCCATACTGGCCATACTGGGAAAAATTACCATGTCTGCAGATTAGAGCCACCTTCCAACCTGTTTTCCTGCTGGCCGGTTCTATCTTCTACACTTCCTGCTGGCCGACCTCATCACTGCTTCTACTCTCTCTGGAGGACACATACATGAGGTTTTACTGAAAGCACTGGCTCTGAAGCCAGGCCACTCAGGTTCAAATCCAAGCTTGGAGCCGAAAGTCCCAAGACAAGTCAATTACTTGTCACTCCCTCAATTCCCTTTTCCGTGTAATCAGAGCCTACTATGCCTACCTCAGAGGCATATATAAAGTACATGGCCGGGGTTGGAGTGATAGCACAGCGGGTAGGGCGTTTGCCTTGCACGCAGCCAACCCGGGTTCGATACCCAGCATCCCATGTGGTCCCCCCCGAGCACTGCCAGGAGTAATTTCTGAATGTATGAGCCAGGAGTAACCCCTGTGCCTCACCGCGTGTGACCCAAAATAAATAAAATAAAGTACATGTCCCCATGGCCTGTGGTCTATAAGCATTATATCTGCATGGTTAAATATATGGATAAGCTAATACCGGCCAGGGTTTCTCATGCATTTCTCATTTTGTCTGTGTTTGGAGTTGGGGAGGGGAGGAGTGAGGGGGTAGGTGGAGAGTGTGGGGTGGAGAGGGGGAGTATTCTTTAGACAACTGACCCTGGCACTCCTGCCCACGCCTCTGTCCCTCTTTCAGACAAGGACGAGAAGCCGGGAGAGCAGGACGACGTATGTATGGCCACTCATTGTTCTGCCAGGCAAGCTAAAGCGAGCACAGCTGAAAATAAACGGAGCCGCTTATTTGATCAGCACAACGGGCAGCGGAGGACATGTGCGGCTGCTGTTTCCAAATATTTGCAGGGCTGGGATGGAGAAGGCGAAGCACTGAAAGGCAGGACTTCTGAGCATCCCCTTTCCCCTCCCCGAACCCAGCGAGAGAGGCCGGGCACGGGCGGCCAGGTGTCAAGGGCGCTGGAAAGAAAGGAATGCTTTCGTGGCGGGGTCAGATCGCTTCTCCGAGCCCCCTCCAGGCTCCCCCAAATCCTGGCCACCCTCGCGTGAGTCACCGAACTGGACGATCCGGCTGTGAGTCACGGGGCGCCGACGCGCTCTGCCCGCTGCGTCGCCGGGGGCGCACGGGGAGCCGCGCGGGCCAGGTGCGGAATTCGAGCCCCGGGGCCGCGCAGAGCTCAGCCCCGAGTCCCCACAACTTCGCCCCGACCCCGCCTGCCAATTAGGAGGATTCCGGGCGCCTGGAGCCCCCCGTCCGCGCCGGGATCGGGCGAAACGGCGGCCGATCCGGATGAACGCCCCCAAGGAGCCGCGCAACCCGGCGCTCCCGAGGCCAGGCCGGGCGGAGACGAGCGAGCTGGGGCAGCGCGAAGGGGTCAGGGGTGGGAGCGGCGGGAGAAGGAGCGGCGCGATGGACGCGGTGGTGGACGGGACCCTCGGGGAGGCGGGGGGGACACAGAGGCTCGGGGAGCGCGCGCTGCACCGGCCGGACCGCCCGCCCCGGCGCGCACGGGCAACGGTCCACGGGAGGACGGGGAGGCGGAGGTGGGGTGCGCGCTGCGCTGGACAGAGGCCACGAGGAGGTCCCCCGAGGGGCCAGCGGGTCGCCGCGGCCCCAGGCCCGAGCGGCGCACCTGCCCGGGGGCTCCCCGCCCCGGCCCCCACGCCCGCCGCCCCCCGCCCCGGCCCCGGCCCGCAGCCGCAGACAGGTGGTCGGACCCCGACGCCGCGCCCCGGGGCGCGGAACTCCGGGCAGCGGCCGCAGGCCTGGCCGGGACAGCGCGAGCGGTGGCCGCGGGCGAGGGGAGGGGGCCGCGTTACCTGCGAAACCAGCGGGAGCAGCGTCTGCTCCACCGAGCGGGTTTTGATCTCGAGTCCCGAATCGAGGGCGAGGCCCGACGGGCCAGGGGCGTGCACGGCCCCGGCGCTGCCGCGGGGGCCAGCGGGGCCCAGGGAGGCGGCCATGGCCCTCGGCCGCTCGCGCCGCCGGGACACCGCGCCACTGCGGGCCCCGCCGCGGCCCCGCCGCTGCCCGCGCGCCGCCGGAGGCCCCGCCCCCAGGGAACGCCCCGCCCCCGGACGCCCCGCCCACCCGGCCCCGCCGCTCCGGGATAGGCTGGCCCTGCGGCCCCGCGGCCGCGACGCCCCGCCCGCCCCGCCCCGCCGCTCCGGGATAGGCTCGCCCTTTGGCCCCGCCCACCGCGCTGACCCCGCCTCCAGGGGCCCCGGTCCCGGGTCTCGTTGTCTGTCTCCTCCTCCGGTCTCCAGCGAATTCAGAGCACCTTTCCCCCTCCTAGGAACGGAGAAACCAGACACCTGAGAGCCTCCCACGGCCACGTGGCCTCTTCTCCGGGCCGGGACAAGCGTTTCCAGCTAAAGCTTCCTGTAGTCTTCACACTGGATGGTTGGGTCCTAATCCTGAATTCCAGCGCTGGAGTAGAAAGTGTTTTAGGAGCACAATTAAGTATTTCTGTAAGGAGGCTTTAAGCCCTGGACAGGAATTCTATCTGCACTGTTATTCAGGGCTATCTCAGCATGGTTTTATACCCCTCTGTCTAGCTTCTTTTTTTCTTTCTGTAGTGTGTGTGTGTGTGTGTACACATGAGTGCATGAGACAGTGCTCAGCTCTTACTGCCAGTTCTGTGCTCAGGAATAACTCTTGGGGGCTCCAGGGATCATATGTTGGGCCTGGCTTCCAACTGGGGTTGGCTGTGTGCAAGGCTAGTGCCCTATCCTCTCTATCCACCTCCATCCCTCCTTTTCTGATCATATCTTTAAACAACAAATTGGGCTGGATTAAAGAGGAAATATTGCGAATGCAACCATGTAAATACTGAGAGCAACCAAGGAGAGAGTGAAGGGTAAATAGAGTGGGGAAATCTCCAGACTACTATTCAAGAATTACATTTTAAAACTCATTTTTAAAATGGCACGCGCCCTAGTGCTTAGCACAGAGCAGTTTCTTAACTGTTCATTGATCATTAGTGTAATTCAAGTAAGGATGGAAAGTAGACATGTGAAAAAGTGTTCATCATACTTATCAGGGAAATGCACGTCAAAATGACAATGAGGTATTATTTCCAGTGAGAATGGCACATATCAAACATACAGGAACAACCAGGGCAGAGGGGATGTGAAGAAAAAGCAACCTCACTCACTATTGATGGGAATGCTCTCTGGTTCAGCCTCTATGGAAACAGTATGGAGATTTCTCCAAAAAGTAATAGCGCCTCCATAATGAACCAACAATTCCAGTTCTTAGCATCTTTCCCCAAACACAAAAACATTAACTCAGAAGATATATGCACACCATAGCTCGCGAAAAGGATTCATCACGATTGACTGTATCTACACTATAACCAAGCTCATTGAGGTTTCTCAGCAGTTCAGGATGCTGCTCTGTCTAAGGTTCATCGATTTAAAGAAGGCCTTTGATTCTATTGAGACTGAAGAGGTCATCAAAGCCCTAGCCAAACAGGGCGTTCAAACTCAGTTCATCAGGATCCTCCGTGAGCTGTATTACGGGTTCACCACCAAGATCTCATCATTCTACAAGGAAGTGATCATCGATGTAAAGAGAGGGGCATGGCAGGGAGATAACATTTCACCGAAACTCTTCAGTGCCACCCTCAAAAACGTCATGCAATGACTGCAATGGGAAGGAATGGATGTGAAGATAGACGGTTGGCAACTACACCATCTCCACTTCGCTGATGACATCGTTCTAACAACACCAAACATTAGCCAAGCAGCACAAATGCTGGCTGACTTTGACCGTGAGTGTGGAAAGGTTGGACTGCAGCTGAATCTCACGAAGACAATGTTTATGAAAAATAAACTCGTTTCTGACGTTCCATTCGCTCTCAATGGAATGAACATCTCCGAATGTAGCAGTTATGTGTACCTAGATCGAGAACTCAACATGACAAATAAACTGGCACCTGAGCTGCGCAGGAGGAAGAGAGCAGCGTGGAACGCCTTCAAGAGCGAAGAACTAGCCAAGAGGACGAAGAACCTACAGTTCCAGGCACATCTCCTCGACTCCACCGTTCTCCCTGCACTAATATACGCCTCAGAGACCTGGTTCCTACAAAAACAGGATGAGAACGCTATTCGGGTCACCCAACAAGGAATCAAAAGAGCTATGCTTGAAGTATCACGCTTCACTCAAGTGAGAGAAGGAATCCGGAGTTCTGACCTCTGTTGATGATCAAGAATCAGGGACGCTGTCTCATTTGCCAAGGTGTCAAAAATCAGATAGGCTGGATGCAATATTCGACTTGCATTATTTGGACTAGAGCGGTTACCGACTGGATTCCAGGTGACATCAAAAGAACACGTGGCCGCCCACCTACGAGATGGTCAGACTTCTTCCTCAAGACCCTGAGCAAATGGTTTGAGGCTCTTTGTGTTCCTATTAGCAAGCAGACGCCATTGGGCTATACTAGCACGTGACCGGGACAAATGCAGACGTTACTGGCGCTCGCTTGAGCAAATCGATGAGTAGGGGGATATCAACTGATCAAGTGATGCTCACGGCAAAACTGAGTACAATAGCAGGATGTGGAAGCAGCCCAAATGTCCAATGATAGATGAACGAATAAAAAAGTTGTAGTGCATGTGAAAACACACACACTGGAATACTAAGCGGCAGTAAATGAAATCTCACAGCTTTCTGCGAACTGGATAGATCCAGAAGACACCATGTTACTGGAATGAGGGGGAAGGAGAGGACAAATATCAGATGATCAACTCACATGTGGTAAATAGAAAAACAAAGGAAAAAACATACGACAGACCCTGAGCCTTGGATTATAAAGCTCATATTACTTAAGGGGATAAGGGGTCAAGTGGACCAGAAGTAACAATGACAGTGGTATAGGGTTTGGGGACACTTTGATGGTGGTGAAACATGTAACTGTACAACAAAAAATTACGTGTTAACACTATCAAATGCCCCCTAAACTACAACTTTTTTGTAAAAAAGAAGACTGAGGCTGGAGAGATAGTACTTCCGTTAAGGTACTTACTTGCCTTGCACATGGCTGACCTGGGTTGAATCACCAGCATCCCATATGGTCCCCAAGCACAGCCAGGAGTGATTCTTGAGTGCAGAGCCAGGAGTAACTCCTGAGTATCACTAGGTACGACCCCAAAATAAACAAAACAAACCAAAAGCAAAAAACCCAAAAAGCAAAAAAGAAAGGCAAGTTAAGAACCATTAGCCCCCAAGTGACAGTGAGAGGAATAGGTGAACACTTCTTACCTTAAGCCACAAGGCTACTGCAAACACTTTGTAATCCTAGGGTTGGCTTGCAGAGATAATACAGGGATTACGGCCTTTGCTTTGCAGATAGCTGACCCGGGTTTGAATCATGGGTGTCACATATGGTCCTTTGAGCACTGCCAGTAGTGATTTCTGAGCATATAGCCAGGAGTAAGCCCTGAGCACTGTTGAGTGGGGCCCAAAAGAACAACAGCAAGAGTCCTAGACTTAATAGGCTGAAGTATTTGTTCACTGTGAATAAGCAAAAGCTGCCAATGAGTAGCCAGAGTTAAAAGTATCGGAGGTTAAATTATCCACTTAAGGTGCTTGCTTGTCTTTCATACAGCAGTCTAGGTTTTGATTCCCAATATCTCAGATAGTCCCCCCAAAATGCCAGGAGTGATCCCTGAGCACAGGGTTCAAAGGAAGCCTTAAGCACAGTCAGATGTGGCCTTTAAAACCAAAATAAGTAAGTGAATGGGCAGAGCCTGGCAAGCTACCCATGACGTATTCAATATGCCAAACACAGTAAGAAGTCTCACGACGGAGACATTACTGGGCCCGCTCGAGCAAATCGATGAACAACGGGAGGATAGTGACAGTGACAGTGTAAAGTAAGTGAATAACTCCTCACCCCTTTAACCTTTGTCTTCATCTGTAAGATCCGATTGATGAGTTAACTGAGCATTAGTATCTTGAGGTGTCAAAAAGCCCTTTCTCAAGCACTGCTGAAACTGTTCTCACGTGGGTACAGCTGCCTGCTGCTCAGGTATGCTGTGGGGTCCGAGAGCCCTAGAGCTAGGCTTCCTTGCTTCACTCAAGATCTGCCAAGTATTTTGTTTTGTTTTTGCAGTACTAGAGATTGAATCTTGGACCTCACACATGCAAGTCAGTGCTCTACCATATCCATGCCCCTAAAACGTACACTTCTTTCCCTCTTCACAACTTAATTCTTTCTTAGATACCACAAGGCCTACTTTCCCCCATCCAAAGAGAGCTTGGCTCAGTTTCTGACCTTTTCACTGCTTTAAGACACCCCAATTCCCACCCCAGAGAAGGGTAGGTAAGAGCCCTCCCCACCCCAAAGGACCCAGCCCCGGCAGTCAAAAACCTCCAGAACTCAGGGATGGGTATTTGATCACTGTAAAATTGAAACCCAAGCCCAAAAATTTGTAAGTCATGATGTACTGTACCTCATGATGTCTTACTAATAAAAATTTTAAAAATAAATAAATTAAAAAAAAACAAACATCCAGAACTCAACTGTCACCATGCTCACAGCCACTCTCCACACACTCAGGCCGAGCCTCACCCACGAGTGAACCCCCAGAAAACCCAGGTAGACGGGTCTTTGTGACTGAGAACTCTGGGTTCAATGGGACTGGGAATGTAGACCCTCTGCCCGTATCCCCATTTCTGGCAACTCAGCAGTCATGCTCATAAACCACCTCTGGCTGGCGCCAGATAATCTCATCACAGGCCACCATCCAGACCGCATGTCCTTCTTTCCTGGAAGGGAGCAGAACATGACACTCACCATAACCATGCCCCCGGACCCCACGCCTGGCTGTTTCACTCAAGGCACCCCAGAGGGGGGCGGACAAGAGCCCTCCCCACCCCAAGAGACCCAGTCCCGGCAGCCGAAAACCTTCAGAAATCAACTGCTTCCATGTTCACTGCCGCTCTCCACACGCTTAGGCCAAGCCTAACCCACGAGTGAACCTATTCCTGGACCATGGAGCCGCATACCACACAGCACCCAAACTCCAAGAATACTGTACCACTTTTGATGGGGTTCATAGTAGGCAACCAATCTTAGAGGTAATTTTTTTTTTTACAGATATATAAAAGTGCACAAGGCTCAACTTTTAACAACATGTTAGTGGTCTCTTATAGAAGGGCTTAATGGCCCCTGGGTGATATGTAACAATCTTCACACTCTTTCCTCCAAGGAAACTTTTTTTGTAGTATTTTTGGCGGTTTTTCATAACAAATAATACGAAATATATTATTTCAATTCTGCTTTGGGACAGGAATTGGGGTTTGGGATGGAAACATCCGAAATATGGTGGTGGGAAGATGTAATGGTGGTGGGATTGGTGTTTGAATATTAAATGTAATCAAATATTGTGAACTACTTTATAAAATAAAAAAAAATTAACCCCTTCTCCCCCACATTCCTCTGGCCCATCTTCCCTCACATAAGCTGCGCCTCCTTTATTCAGACCCGTCCATCTGGTGCCAAAAGAAAAGGGAAGACGTACGCCTAAGAGGCTCAGGGGCGGCTTTGTGAAAATCTGATTTCACTCAAGATCCAATTTCTCAACAGAAATGAGACTAAGTTCACCGCATGATTCATTTATCACTAGGAATTTTATTTCAAAATATAAATATTTTACATTTACAAAAAAGTGACATCAGTAGGTTATCAAAGCAAGTTAAAGCTACGAAACAGCAGTGGTGAGAATAAAGAACATTGTTGCACTTGAATAATCTTTTCTTACTTTCCAACCCTCTCTCCTTTGCCCGAGAATGCAGAGAAGATACATTTTTGAAAAGTAACAGTTTAAAGCAATTACAACTATATATCTAAGCAGAATTTCACAATTATGTGGTGTTTTGAAACACATTCAGTCACCAAAACCTGTATAGCACTGCTTAAAGACAGTAAGGAATTTTCTTTGGGATAGCCATAATGAAAGCTTTGGGGCCACTGAAATTAAAACAGACAGACAGACAGACAAACCAAAGGAAAAAAAAAAAACAGCATTTGATTATAAACTGAAAGTGTTGTTACTTGAAGATTTGTTTCTACACCTTTCCCTGTGAAATAGGAAGCCAGAAGAAAAATAAGAGATCATGCATGGGTTCAAAAAATCTGGACCTGGTGTCAGAAAAATTCTGCTACAGAATTCTGACTCCATCCTTTTTGAGGTGTAATGGGGGAAGAAAAAAAACAAACAAACCCACAAGAACTTGAGCCTCCTTCCAGGATCTCATCTGATAATACGTAACCCCAGCATCATCTTACAGCACTGTGAGGAAACCAGCCTGGAAGTTATAAAGTGCCATACAAAAATGTTATTAAGACAGATCACTCTATCAACCACACCATCTGATCTTCAAAAGAACATGAAAAATGTAGCACAAATACTGCTTTGACACACCATAGGTGGGAAAGAATATAAGTACAGCTTTGAATGACAAGTAGGTTTCTCTCTTGTATCTCATTAAACTTTGAGATTTGTTTATGGTTGGATCTGGTACCATGGTAACAGAGAATTTAGCATTCAGAGTTTCCATGAAGAATGTCCTCGAAAAGAGCCGTAAACTTATTTGAGAGTCCTGTTTCCCAAAGGACAGTAGTCCTTTGAGAGGCTGGGGGTTGAGGGAGTGCGGTGGGGGCTAGGGGGCTGGGGAGGGGGGCGCCTGCAGTTTAAAGTCAAGTAAGTCTGGTAAACACAGTCTTTGTCCTCTACTAGAAATTCACAGTCTAGGACGGCATGCTGGAAACTCTTACAAGTCCTACAGAAAGGAAACAAACCCAGCATTCCTCAGTTTTAATTGACTGTGGAGTCCCCTCCCCCAGACATACTTTGTTCTCTTACAACATGTAACAACATTCCGTGGAACGGCTGCTATAAAGAGCACATTTCCTCCAGTGCTACTCACTGGGAGGGAGAAGGAGAATAGAACATAGAAGAGTGAGAGGAAAATCGTACTCTGAACTGTCACCCACCCGCTCCGTGGGCCTGAGAAAAGTCACTTTGCCTCCAGCTGTCTCCTATTCCAGAACTGACAGGTCCGCCTACTGCCTACTTACACGTGGTCCATTGTAGCAGGAGATGTCCCAGAGAAGGCCTTAATGTACAAGTCTCTTGTTATTGCTGGTTTTTTCTTAGGGGGGTGGGCGCTACCCTCAGCTCTGCTCAAGGGGCTCCTCCTGGCTCTGTGTCTGGAGTACCACATGAAGCCTGGGTTTGAACCTGAGCCTTCCACATGCAGAACATTCACTCAGCCCACTGGGCCACCTTGCCAGTCCCTCTTGATTTTTTTTTTGGTTTTTCTTTTTTTGGGGGGGGGGGGGGTGGAAGGGGGAGCCAGACTTACTCCTGGCTCTGCACTCAGTGACACTCCAGGTAGACTAAGCCAGGTCAGCCGCATGCAAGGCTAGCGTCCTACCAGCTGAACTACTCCCTCTCCCCTCCCCCACGAGCTGTCAAAACATGACTACTGAGTGGTTTCACACAAGGTTTTTTTTGTTTTGTTTTGGTATTTTTTTTTTTTTTGCAGGTCCCTCAAGAAAGTAATGGAGGGGCCGAAGCAATAGTCCAGTGGGGGAGAGTGTCTGCTTTGCACGCAGTCAACCCGGGTTCAACCCACAGCACCCCAGATGAGCACTGCCAGGAGTAATTCCTGAACGCAGAGCCAGGAGTAACCCCTGAGTATCACCTGGTGTGACCCAAAAAGCAAAAACAAGAGAAAGTAATGGATAACTTTGGTGACAAATGGAAAGAAATCCAGGAAAACAAAAAATACTTATTCTGAGTTGGAAGGGGCACTTGGCAGCGTGTTGACGGAGCTAGTTCATCTGTCAAGTACAGATGCAAATGCTCCTGGAAAGGTCTGGAAGATGTCCAGAGCACAGGTCAGGACCAGGGTCTAGGAGGGTCTACAGGGTTTCTCCCTATATGTGTTGAAGTTGGGCCGGAGCAATAGCATAGCGGGTAGGGCGTTTGCCTTATACTTGGCCGATCTGGGTTCGATTCCTCCGCCCCTCTTGGAGAGCCCGGCAAACTACCGAGTGTATTCTGCCCGCACAGCAAAGCCTGGCAAGCTACCCGTAACGTATTCGATATGTCAAACACAGTAACAAGTCTCACAATGGAGACGTTACTGGTGCCCGCTGGAGAAAATCTATAAACAACGGGAGGACAGTGCTACAGCGCTACAGTGTTGAGGTCAGCTCTGTCCAACTCATCTAAACTGAATTTACACCACAGCCCTAACGTAGCAGCTTTCAGGATATTACGGCAGCAGCATACCCAAAAGGATAAATTACAACCAAAATAAGAACAGGGAGCTATAAGGGGTCACAAAGGATTCATATGAAAACCAGGTTAGCCAGTGACCTCATGCAAATCGACTAACTGGAACACTGTGTGTGTGTGTGTGTGTGTGTGTGTGTGTGTGTGTGTGTGTGTGTGTAAATACAGTATTGCCTTAACACTTGCTAGGGTACCCTCCCACCATGCAGAGTCACAGTCTCTCTCTCTCTCCACCAACTTCAGATGCCAAAGGACAACTGGGCCAGGGAACCCCACCCTTGCCATTTTTAAAATAAGGCCGGTGTCTAACTGCTTGTCGGGGCTCGCTTCCAGGAACTGAGTAGGACGGGAATTTTGAAACTGCAACAAGACTTCTGACATGAAGTCTTTCTGGGGAGAGTCCTGTGCCCTGCGCTCTCCCAGGAGAGATGCGTGTCGCATGCAGAGCATGGATCACCTGCTGCCTCCTCCCAGGCTACACCAGTGGTTCTCAGATGGGGGTCACACAGCCTTACCTGTGACCCCCAGGATAGCATACAGGGCCACAGCTGGTGAGGAGGAGGGCAACCGGTGGGTGGGGAGGGTCCCAGGAAGGAAACAAGCTTGGAAGGGGACCATGTAAGGAAAAAGGTGGAGAAACACTGGCTTGGACTCAACAAGAAATGTGAAGCTGAAACTGACCTTTGCAGGGGGCTAAGGGGGGTGGGGAAACACAGCTATGCTCAGGGCTTACTCCTGGATCTGTGCTCAGGGAACCAGAGGTGTTGGGGACTGAGCCCAGTTAGGCCCTGTGCAAGGCAAGTGCCTTACCCACTGTATTATTGTTCCAGCTCCGAAAGTGGATGTTTAGTAAAGTTATAAAACTTAAGACATAGGGTTTCTGCACTTGCGTTTTATTTGGGGGGGGGGGGGGGGGGAGGCAGGGCAGGTGTGTAGGGGACTCATGTCCAAGGGTACTCAGGGGTTATTCCTGGCTCTGCACTCAGGAATTATTCCTGGCAGTGCTCAGTGAACCATATGGGACACTGGGGTTGAATGCAAGGGTCTGCCACGTAAAAGGAGATCAATCATCCCAAATACTCCAGGCCCTGCACTTCGGTTTTATGGAGGTTACGTCTCCCTTCATCAAAGCACTGTCCCCCAGGGAAACTTTTGGGTCAAATCTTGAGAATCTGGGCGTTCCCCATCTTCAAGACTTGATCTATAGACACCTTCCTTTTCATGCCATTTGATCTACTACCTCCTTGTTGTCTGGAAGGGTGTCTGGGGACATTTTTGTCTGGGTCTACGGGTTCCTAGAAGACCCCCCCACCCCAAGTCTGTGAATCTTCTAAGTATGTAGGCAGTTCCTGGGGCAATTGAAAATTCTTTTTGGGGGAGGATGGGAAGCTAGAGGGGGGCGCGGGAAGCTGGAGGGGGGGCGCACGCAAACACACACACTCCTCTGCCTACGTAGGGCTTACTCGGACTCTGTGTTCAGGGATCACGCCTGGCAGTTCCTCAACACCACATGTGGTGCTGGGGATGGTAACGAGTCAGGTGCCCACGAGGCAAGTGCCTTACCTGGTGCACTAGAGCTCTGGCCTCACATTTCTTGTAAATGCTTCACTCTGGGAACAAGCCTGTCACCGCTCACTCTGACTGCTCTGAGCTGCCCTTTCTGTCTCCAACAGGAGCCTTGTATTAGCTAAGGGTTAGGGGCTTTTGTGTAGTTCTGAAATTCACTTTATACATCTGAAAGCACCTTTAAGGAACATTGCCTACATACGCACCCCAAGCCACGGTGTTTATTTTCCCAATATAATTACAGTGCACGAATTACAGCTGAAAACTTAATAGTATTTGGAAACAAACCTGATTTCTCTTTCAACCCTTTGTACGCAATTTTTTTCATCTGAGCAATACCCATGACCCAGCTAAGATTTAATAAGGGAGAAAAAGCCTTTCCCTGATGCGTTATACCCTACAACGCTGTTCAGAGTCTGGCAAGGAACCTAGAATTTGGCACACTTTCAGCAAACTTTTTTTTTTCTTTCTGAATTAGTGACTGAGTCACTAACTAAAGAAAAGAGTGAGTTATTGAGCGGCTAAGGTAACCCTTGGTCGTAGATCAGAGTTTAATCACTGAGGAACTTGTGATGGAAAGAACAAATATACATGTTTATTGTATAAACCGAGACCTCACCTCAGAGTAACTTTTATTTTGTTTCTTCTTTTTGGGTCACACCTGGTATGCACAGGGGTTACTCCTGGCTCTGCACTCAGGAATTACTCCTGGCGGTGCTCAGGGGACCATATGCAATGTTGGGGATTGTACCTGGGTCGGCCGCGTGTAAGGCAAACGCCCTACCCGCTGTGCTATCGCTCCAGCCCCCCAGAGTAACTTTTAGATGATTTTCTTAAATAATTTCAGTTAGGTTAATCATCATCATTTATGCTTCTTAATGAGGATACGTTAGGGGAAAAAAAATTTTTTTTAAACAAAAAACTTTCAAATATCCTCCCAAAAGGTAAGCTCTGATCCTACAAATGCTTTCTCCTTCATATTCTCTTGAAGTCCGAGAAAGAGCCTGAGGACTGTGATCTTTAGCAGACAGCCCGAGAGGAAAAAGCTGAGTTCCCGTCCCAGACTCACTTCCAGCACGAGTAGGAATACCTACCTCGCAGCACTGGGAAAACTGCCCGAGGAAGCAGAAGAAACACTGTAATTTGACAGTCTGCAAACTATGAAGGGGTCCGAAAGCTCTCAGGTCCAACACTATTAAACTTCCTGACTTTGAGTTGGTCACTGCTCTGAACCTCAGCGTCCCCATCTGTGTGAAAACTTATTGTAAAAGAATATAAAACTCTACGTAAGCTGATGTGCAATCCTCTGCTCGCCCAGAAAGGTTGAGGGGGAAGCACTAATACTGGTTATTGTGACACTGAGCATTATTTTTAAAAGTTATCATTTAATTCAACAAGCATTCACCCAGTGTCCTCTGAGCAAGGCACTGTGCTAAGCCGTGGAGAAAGACCTCAGGGATATAAAATCTACTGCTAATAAGTAACTATTTGGTGGAATTCCAAACAACGAAATGGCTATACACTGACCAAACCAGAGCCTGCCACACCTGAGAGTTTTCACCTGAAACATTTGGAAAGGAAAGATGTAACCACAACAGGAATCCTATCATACTGTTACCATGAACATGAAGCTTAATAGGTATTTTTACTCCTAGTGGGGGAGGCCAAGGTTTTGTTTTGTTTTTGCTTTTTGGGTCACTCCCAGCATGCTCAGGGGTTACTCCTGGGTCTTCACTCAGGAATTACCTCCTGGAGGTGCTGGGGGAGCATATGGGATGCCGGGGATGGAACCTGGGTCGGCCGCATGCAAGGCAAATGCCCTACCTGCTGTGCTATTGCTCCAGCCCCAGGAGGCCAAGTTTTAAAAACGTGGCAATGGTGTCTTGGTTTCTTGAGTGAGAGAAGAAAGAGTCAGGGAAGGAAATCTTGCAGTCTTTAGGGACCTCCTGTCATTGCTGGAGATGAACTGAACTCCACACAAGCTCCAGCTCATACCTACGATCTGTTCTTTCTCACAGAGGCCCCCGCTTGGTGGGAGAAGTGTGGAAGGGTCCTTCTTCCTGCTCCAGCAATAGCATACTAGAAGGCAAGAGGCCGCATGACTCAGAAGTGACTGGCACAGGAAAATCGAAAGAACTGATTGCTTAAAGCTGCTGGAGAAAGGGACATCGGAGAGACTTGCAACGGCAGGTTAGTTTAGGGTTCTTAAAATAACTTTTATAAATACATACTTTAATAGCATAGAAAACCGAAGGGGGACAACTCAAGCCATGGTACCAGTGTATAAAACGGAAACAGTTCAAGCCATCTGGGCAACAGGGAGGTAAGAAAACCACACTGCTGAGCTCCAAAGCTGTGCTGGAGACTGCAAAGCAGCCCTCAGCAAGTTCACTCTTGTCCAGGCATCCCGGAAGGCTGGGAGGCCACTCTTCTTCCCCAGGCTCTGCTCGGACAGAGCTGTCGCTCCCTCCCCAAGCTCCGCGTAGGCACGGCCGCAGGGACAGACGGCCACGCCGGGCAAACTCACTGGGGACCTTCCCGAGAGAAATCTCCGTGGTGGCCAGCAGGTCAGTCTATGGAAGATTTCATCTCCTCAGAAATGTCACGACAAGTCCTAGAAGGAAGAAAGGCAAAACAATTAAGTTTTTGCTTTGGGAAAGGAGGCAGGGGAAAAAAAAAATTTTTTTTTTAAAAGAAAACAACACAGAGACATTGTTGTAAGAAAAGGAAGGAAGCAAGAAGGGAGTGAAGAAAAAAAAATGGAGAAAGTCCTCTAGTGACTAACTGCCAAAGAACAGTTATCAGTTCTATCATGAAAGTCCTGATGAAGGTACAGAGGCAGAACTTCTACTTTATACAGTTTCTTTTTTTTTCTTTTACTATGCAGTACTTTTAATTTTTTTTTAATTGAATCACAGTGAGATACACAGTTACAAAGTTGTTCATCATTCAATTTCAGTAATATCATGTTCCAACACCCGTTCCTTCACCAGTGTGCATTTTCTCACCACCAATGTCCCCAGTTTCCCTGCCGCCCACCTCTATGGAAGGTCTCTCTCTGTCTGTCTCTCTCTCTTTCTTCTCTGTCTCCATCTCCGTCTCTGTCTCTCTCTCTTTCTCTCTCCCCCACCCCCATCCTCTCCTCTCCCTCCCATTTTGGGTATTATACGGTTTGCAACACAGATACTGAAAGGTTATCACGCGGATCCCTTTACCTACTTTCAGTACTCAGTTCTTGCTCAGAGGAGATCATTTCCAACTGTTGTCATACTGGCCCGTATGAATATAGTTTCAAGGTCTCCTAGTTGTCGCTCATGGTTTAGAAAGAAGATCTCCAAGGTTGGTTCTTCTCTTTTTTGGGTCACACCCAGGGGAATGCTTAGGCTCTGCTCTCAGGAATTACCCCTGGTGCTGCTCGGAGGACTATATGGGATGCCGGGGACTGAACCCGGGTCAGAGGCATGCAAGGCAAATGCCCTCTCCCCCCGTACGATCACTCCAGCCCCAACTCCAGGGCTTTGCAGGGCCTACTTGTCTTCATCCAACGGATTCCCTTGAAACCACATGCGAGCACGTGACTGGCCAACCCTCAGTTTAGACCCAGATGGGGCCAGCCTACTGCTAAGCTGCGTTTGCTCAGCACTGCGGCGGCGAGCTTGCCTTTGCTACGTAATCTACATGCCGAAGCTTGGAGACTGTCACCCAGTCAAGTCTGATCTGTTCTGGCAGCCAAATGGTCAGCTTTTACAATGCATTTAAAAGCTCAGGCACCCAAGGACACTGGGATGAAGAAAGCCCCCAGGGAGATACAACAGTCACAGGAAGGGGAATCGAGGAATCGCCCCGTTATTCTGAGTGCAGCTGGCAGTGGGCTTTGCTGGTTTTCTGTAGTAGCTGTTTTAATAGCTGTTTTTAGTGTTTTTTTGTGGTTAGAGCTAAATCTCTCTTAAATGAGATAGTACTTTACCAGAAATGTATTTTCATCCTTCAGGTAGAAGTCACTGGGTTCTTTCACAACACCAGCAAATGACCGAGTTCAGAATGCTGGCACTTTTCAAAAACAGTTTCAGGGCTAGGGATGCAGCTCTTGGTACAGTACTTGCTCTGCATGTGTGAGACCCTAAGTGTAATCCCCCCACACTGATAAACACACACACACAAAAAAAGCAAAACCTTTTTTTGTCTTCATTCCGTTTGCAGCCACATCACTTAGACTAAGCTGTACCTTCTTACAAAGGCCAGTATTACAAAGCAATTACCTAAGTCACAGGTTTCTAAACTCATCCTGCGAAATCTTTTCAAATTTTCAAGACCCCTGCAAGTTTATTCATTCCATGATAAAGTTATGTTTTATTTTCATACCTCTAAGTGTCGGCTGTCGTACACACACATTTCTGCTTTTTCATCAGAAAACGGACCTAAATTAGACTATAACAAAGGGATCTCAAACACCAAGGACTAGCTCACAGCTGTAGAAACAAGAGATGACAGAAAGTTGTCACAGGGATAAAGCACTTAAAGATTCATAAAGCAAGAACTTGGAGCTTCGGACACAACCCCATGCTCTCTACTCATTCTGTCCCGTCGACTTCCAGGTCAAATAGTTAGCAGGGCTATGAATGCCAGGGAGAGACGAATTCAAGACCTCCCGCTTTCGCTCCATGCCAGGTGTACTCCAGTGCATCGAAGAGACCAGTTAGCTCTGTTCTTTCACTGGACCCTGCTCGGTCCCCTGTGCCTCTAGCCCCTCACCAGCACATGCTCTGCTTCCCGGTATGACTCCTGCAGCTCGGAGCCTAAGAGTGACGTGATCAAACCCTCGGTGAAGCACATGCGAAGAGGTCAACCATGCAGTGAACTTGGTTTCCTTCAGTATGTTCATACCATGGGAAAGTCCCCCGTGGATGTGAATTTTTACATGTTTTATATCCACACATACAGACACAGATCAAATCAGAGTTTCCAGCATCTGAATCACAGACAACTTTGTGAAACAGATGTTCGGCAGCACCCCTGACACCTCTATCTACCCACTAGTGCTAATAATCAAAATATCTTGAGATACCCCCAAATGCGCCCGTAGCAGGGGAGTGAAATCAAATGCCCCCACCCCAACCTCTGATTCAGTGTCTATTCATATTTATAGATTTCCAGGGTTATTATTATTGGGGGCAAGGGGAGAAAGGAACTGTTTTGTACTACATCTGGTGGTGCTCAGGGTTTACTTCTGGCTCTGTACTCGGGGATTTCTCCTAGCAGGGTTCAGGGGACCATAGACGGTGCCAGGAACTGAACCCAGGGTTGGCCATGCACACGGCAAGTGCCCTGCCCGGGCTCCTATGGCTTTGGCCCGTCACGTATGTAGATTTTCAAAGTATCATTTCACTTTATGTTTTCAGATTTGTATGGTGGTAAAGTTGGTTGCAACCCATCTCAGGATAAATTCCAGAAGGCACTCAAATCTAAGAAAACCCTGGCAAATCTTTAAAATCAGCCCCCAAGTGATCAATATTACAAAGTATTTTCCAAAGTTGAAAAGGTTTCTACACTCAACCTTCAACATTTTCAATTTTTTGTGAAACCTGCAAGTTTGAACTATCTAAGTCCTCTCAATGTTAAATAAAAAAAATTTGCCTCCAGGCAAAGATGGATAAGGTAAGATTAAGACTGCTGTTGGCCTGGTGACTGGTTTTTGTTGACAAGTAAGTTTAGCTGTAACCTTGAAATTCATACCTGCTATTCAATTCTGCCTCAGGGCCAAGAAAGTCTCCAAGAGCACTCAGGTGAAAGAAAACAAAATACAGTAAGCTGAGAAAACAGGAAGAATGTTCCATCTCAACATGACATCCTCCCGAGATGCTGAGGGTGGTGTACTTGTGTCATGTGCATCGAAAGCCCTATGGAAGTAACGTGAATATGATCTGAAACTGTTGGAAAAGAAAATGCAGAGCCCTGAGATGCAAAAATGTTTCTCTCCAACCTCACTAAGAGGCACAGCGCTAACTAATCTGAAAGACTCATGACTCTTTTAAATTCTGAAGCTATGAATAAACAGACAGTATACTGACAGCATTTTTCAGAAAAAAAAGGTAAAAGGTAAAGGCCCTCCCGTTGATCGTCGATTTGCTCGAGCGGGCCCAGTAACGTCTCCATTGGAGACTTTGTTGTTACTGTGTCTGGCATATCGAATACTCTCGGTAGCTTGCCGGGCTCTCCGAGAGGGGCAGAGGAATCGAACTCGGGTCGGCCATGTTGGCCGCTTGTAAGGCGAACGCCCTACCCGAAAAAAGGTTAAAATTCTACCTACGTCACTTAAACACGGTGCTCCCTCCCAAACAAGAAGGCTTCCTGTGCTCCTAAGAACATTAATAGAATTTCTCATAAGCAATACAGAATGTGGGTGAGGACAGCAGTGGGGTCCCCCGACTGCCTTTACAGGGTTTGATTTCTTCAAAGTTTCTGCGAGTTTTAAAAAAAGGAAAAAACACCCTAATTTATGTCACTGCCCACTATTATGTTTTAAGTGCTGGGAACCAAACCCAGGGTTTCATACATGCAAGGCATGCATTCTGCCACTGAGCTAAATCCCCTGCTGCTTAATTATTTATTTTTTTTATTTTTAGTGCTATCGCTCCAGCGATAGCACAGCGGGTAGGGCGTCTGCCTTGCACGCAGCCAACATGGCCGACCCAAGTTCGATTCCTCTGCCCCTCTCGGAGAGCCTGGCAAGCTACCGAGAGTATTCGATATGCCAGACACAGTAACAACAAAGTCTCCAATGGAGACGTTACTGGGCCCGCTCGAGCAAATCGATGATCAACGGGAGGGCCTTTACTTTACTTACTTTACTTTATTTTTAGTAGCTCAAAGTTGCTGATTCCCAGTCTCCCAGAAACAGAGACTAGGTTTGGACATACCAGCTGTGCTATCGCTCCTACCAAAAATAAGGCATATCTGGTTTGATCTTGATTTTGCTCACCTCTTTATCAAATTCCCACGGAGCAGGGCTGGGGAGAGTACATAACCCATCCAGAGATGATCCCTCATGCCAAGCAGGAGTGACTCCTGAGCACAGAGCCAGGAGAAAGTTCTGAACACAGCTGGGTGTAGCCCAAAACGCAAACACAAATCAATAAAAGTTCCCCTGTGCGCTTCCTGTGTGCCACACACCAGGGCAGGAATGACTGCAAAGTGCCGGGCAAGTCAGAGGGAGCTGCTACCTGCAGAACACCTCCCAGCCGGGAGGGCAGACAGCAAAATGCGGATGCATGAGACATGACTAGATCCCAGGAGAAGGTGCTCAGAGGACGCAGAACACGGACAACTTACTTAGTCTAGGGAGGGTCAGTAACTTCAAAGAAGTCACAAGCTTAAAGTCACAGGATACCGAGCTTGGCTAGAAACGGGGCAGTGAGTTTTTTCTGGGGGTATGGGAACTATTCCTGGTGTGGTGCTCAGAAGCGTGGGTGGACCTAGGTGGAGCCCGGAGCTCCCACACACAGTGCAAATGCTCCCACCCATTTGAACCATCTTCCTGCCATCTTACTGATGTACTTAAATTTTACATGCCAGAGGCTAGGATGATGGTGGAATCAAAGTAACCGTCATCTCTTT